TTTTTTTTTTGGAAGATTTACATGCATGCCACACATTTCTTGAGTATCGACGTATCTAACATCTAAAATTTAATATTTTTAGCAATAACACTTTACATATGCCTCAAAATTTGTATTTCAATTTTAAAAAGTTAATGATCGTGGTATTTTTTACTTGATAAAAAAGCTTTTTGAGTGTTAGAATTGTAAAAATCAAAGTAGATGTCAGATATGTAAATCCATAAGAGTTATGTCATATGTATGCAAATGCGCCCCCACCACCCTGCCTTTTTTTGCCAGATAGATTATGTAGACTCGACTTAGTTTGGAAGTATATATTAAAATTTTGCTCAGTTGCCAATTCTCAGCTTGAATAGGTACCATGTTACTATTTTCTTTTTCAGTTTTTTATTAGTCTAACTTCCCTATTGAGTTTGTCCAAATGTCTGTCCTTAAGGCTGGTCATTAGATTTCATTCTGATTTATTGTATGTTAAGACAACATTAAGTAAAACTGGTTTTTTATAGTTAAACTGAGCTATTGAACTTTTATACTTCTTCAGAGATACTCAAGGCTGAAATTTATTTATTTAATCGTTTTGCATCTCTTTTCCCATGATAATGTATTGCGACTTAATAGGCTTATTAGCATCTATTTTTCATTGTTTCAGATATCAGACTATTATGAGGTTGACAGAGAATCATATTCTCCTAGTTCTGCATGGGTGAGTAATGTTTGATGATAATGGCTTCGTTGATCAACATATTGTTGTTACATTGTTGTGCTATAAATTTGAATATGACTAAATGTTGCTGCTTTTTGTATAATCTTATTTTTCTTTTCCCATAGCCAACTTCATTTGATGAAACGGGCGATGAAGGCAAGTTTCACAGTTCAGAATATGCATATAAGGCACACCATGATGGCCATTTCCTTGCACTAGAACCTTTCGAACCAACATGGATGCTGAATCCCAATTATTATGGCAGCTATGAGGAATTTTCTGCTCCAGACAAGCAGGTTTCGTTTTTCTAATCAGGAGAATTAATGAATATTTTTAACCTGAATGTACATTTTATAGCCTTTGCTTATCTTTATGTTTTATCAATTGGTTTGTTCAGAGTTTTGGTTTCAGTGCATTCGTATGCCCCATACCATGTTCTCTTTTTCTAATTCTATATATTCTTGGAAGATATATGTACACACCACTCAAGTCTTTTTCACTTTTTAAAACTTAAATAGTGGTACTTTTGATCTGATATGAAATATTTGGGTGGTACGAATGTAAAATCAAAGTTTAGCTATTAGATTTGTAAAAGCATATGAATTGGTGATATTTATGTAAATGCCCCTTTACTCTTTCTATTACTCAGTAGCACACCACCTCATTCCCTCTTTTTTCTCGTCACATTTGCCCATCAAACTTATTTTATTTACATTATGTTGGATGAGATTATTTGAAATTTACTTGAAATACGATCTCAATAAATCCAATGCGCCAAGTGCTATATATGAACTTCCACCTTCTACTTAAAAAAACAACTCTTTGTTCAATTTTTTGCTTGTATATCAAACCATAAGAACACTTACAATTTGCATGCCATCAGCTAAAAGGTTTGTGATTTGGCAAGGCAAAGATCTCTCCAATCCTACTATTTTATCGTGATTGTGTATGTTTAACATTTGACAAGTAAATATTTTTGAGCTAATTCATTAAGCAGTGATCAATTTCCCCTAAATTTGAAAATTTAATTACAAAAATGGGACTGGTTGATAAGATCAAATTTGTTATTCAAATCTATATGTATCCAACGAAAACCTAATCCTTATAATTCATATGCCAATCTAAAGATGATTTTCTAATAAACTGCATATAAAAATTTAAAATCCCAATAAATTTGAATGAATTGAAAAAAATTTCAAATCTCATCTCTTGTACTGCAACTTGTTAACCTTTTTTTTCTTTTTTTTCTCTTTTCGTCTCATTCTCTGGGACATGCTCCTTCATCGCGAAGTATCTCTTTCGATTCTCTAAAAATCTACGAATTCCGGTTTGTCAAAATCACGATGTTTATAGAGTTTGTGGGGATTTCTTAATCGAAAAGGTTGTTTCCAATGAAGTCAATTTACGTAGGAAATTGAGGGATTATCATAACAGTGAGCACCTTGATGTGGCTGACATGTTGGCAACAGGAGTGTAGGTGAGCTGATGGAGTGCTAGGGTGTGTGAAACAACACCTTTCAGTAATGTTCAAATACACATTACATTGGTTAGAGATAAAGTGTAGAATCTCAGTTTACCTAATTCAAGTGCTTTACAATAACATGCCCCAAATTGTTTATAATTTTCTCATGCTTGGTAAATATATGCTGATTAGATTTTATTATTTAAATGTCCAATTTGCAGCGTGCACTTAAAATGCTTTACCCTGTGTTTTTTTCTTTTAATTACAATTACTAATAGCTATATTCAAGTGATGTGAGCTCAAAATTCCACAAGATGATGATGGATCCTATGGTGGCATTTGCTGAAAATGGTGGCCAATTTGCTTTTCTCGCAGATTTGCTCTTATTATGACTGGTAAACTTGGGCCCAAATTATATAACTGAGCGCTTAATATTGTTGAATTAGGGGAATGAGCACCAAAAATAAAAAATAATATATATATATATATATATA